ATCAGGCAGTTAGTACCAGCCCCTGGAGATATCAGGCTTTGCTTGGAGTTGAGCTGCCAAATGTAAGTCTTTTTGAGTGCAAAAGGGCTCTGACAGAGTAGATGGAATCAGCAGCAATGCCAGGGCTGTCTCAATCCCCACTCATTTTGTGGCTGCTTTTTGGGCAGCAGCGTCTGCTAGATTATTTAATAGCCACCTCCGTTGACATTTAAATAGCAGCTAACATCCAAAATTTGGGGAGCATTTTTGATCTTTTGGCCCCCTTAAGTCAATAAATCTCGTTCCTGATAAATAGCCCCATGAACATGGGCAGTAGCAAATGTATATCTGATATCAGTCTGACAACTTGAGGGCCTCAGTGAGGGCAATGAGTTCAACCCATTGGGCTGATGTTTCTGGCTCCAAGGTTTATTCCCATAGAATCTGAGAGTCTGTGAGGGCGGCTCCCATGACCCACTTACCTTGATAGATGTGACTGCTTCCATTGGAGAAATATAATGAAACTCCACACAGTGGCTCATCTGTCAAGTCTGATCGAAACCCTATGAGATGATCGGAGGGGCAAGGAGGGCTCATCATTGCAGAAAGGAGAGCTGGGTTCTTCTTATAGCATCTTCTAGATTCTAGCTCCCCAGCTAGTCTCTAGTCATGCTATATGGCTGTTCATTGGCAAATGGCAGATCACAGTCAGTTTTTTTGAGCATCATGTTTGTTAAGGTTTATATCTAGATGTTCCCCTAAATTCTCATGTGATCATAAGCAGGGCTTTGGGAAGGAGATTGGATCATAGGACTTTTAACTGACTTGATGTTAGGAAGTACGGTCTGGTACAGACAGGTCAACAGAGGTGTGGTCTGAAGCATTTATGTCCCTCTGGGCTCCTCACTTGATCTCCCTGCTTCCCTGCTGCCATGCCATGATTGGACCAGATGATCATTCAAAGACTGAAATTTCTAAAATGTGAGCCAAAATAAACCTCTCCTCCTTTAGGCTGTGGGTGTCAGGTACTGCATCCCAGCAATGAAGAAGGTAACTAAGACAATGTTAACAACATTCTAGACTGGCCTAGCCAAAGGTCTTTACCTGCTGCATCGTCCTTATCCTCCTCCCATTCCGCCTTCCAAATCATGGGCTCAGCTTCCAAACAGTTTTCCAGATTCTCTAGTCAAAGGCACAGACCACTGAATAGGACATTTGGAGTACCATCTCAACCCCCATTGGCCAACTCTCATCTGCCAACTGGATAGCACCTGAGTTCCTCATTCCCAAGAGGAGCTTAACATCTCAGCCTTGAGAAGCTATATGCACCCTTCTCTGCCCAGGCATTCTGAACATTTCCACTGCTCCTCAGTCCCTGCCCAAGAGACTCTTCCCAAAAGAATATAAGCATAAATGTGTGTTTACATGAGGTAGACAACAACACTATACCTCACTGTCCTTTGATTACTCACTGCAATCGTCTTCTCAAATCCCAAGAGAGTTTGCTTTGGGGTATATTTACCCTCCTAGTTCCTTGGAGCAAAAATAATATTCTATTCTTGCTGGGTGTGGTGGCACACTCTGTAATCCCAGCACTCATGAGGCTGAGGAAGCAGGATTGTTACAAATTCAAAACCAGCCTGAACAAAGTGAGCCCAAGGCCAGCCTGAACCACATGGTGAGATCCTGTCTCAGACTAAAATAAATAAATACATAAATAAAATTCTATTCTTAGGCCAAGAGCTATACAGAAACACACACATGCATGAAGACAAAGGTCTACTCCTTTAGACTGGGAGTTTTAGGTTAGAGACTGCTTTACTTTTTGATGGTGTTCCCAATGGCAAATATTGAATATGTACAAAAACATTCCCAAGAGATCTTACCAAGTCAGCAAGAAAGCACAAATTTCAGAGTAAACACAAGCAATAGTATCAGATGATGAAACTGTTCAAAACAGTCACATGCACACACACACAGAAGCACACACACACATACACTGATTTCTGACAAAGATATAAAAGCAATTCAGTGGTGAATGGAAATATTTTCAAAAAATGGTGCTAGAACAATCAGGTACTTATATGGTGTTGGGAAGACTTTAAGCGACACTTGTAGTAGCAAGAATAATACCTTCTCCAGATGTCCACACTCTAATTGTCCAAACCTATATATACATTTAAAAAGTAAAAAGCTGTAGAAGAGGAAAAGTGTTTGCAAATCTGATAAAATTTTTTTTTTCGTCTTTTTGAGACAGGGTTTCTTTATGCAGTTCAGGCTGGCCTCAAACTCACAGCAATCCTCCTGCCTCAGCCTCGCAAGTGCTGGGATTATAAGCATACAACCAGCCCAGCCCCAATGAAGCTCTAATACTTTTTTTCATAAAATATAAAGAACTATCAAAATTCAATAACACAAACATAAAATGCTATGGGTTGCACATGGGTATGCAAACCGAAGATCCACATGTAAAAGTTTGGTCTGAAATGGCAGCATGAGGCAGCACTGGGGACCGTAAGAGATCTGGCCAGGGAGTGGGGGCGCATCTCCAAAGGGACTGTGGTACCGCACTGATCTCGTCTTCTGTGCTTCTGGATCCAAGATGTCCACACTGGTTTGGCCATACTCTCCCACAGTGACGTGATGCCTTTACCAGGGCCCACATCTATGAGGCCACCCAATCGCACACTTGAACTTTCAGGAGCATGAGCCTAAGTAAATCTTTCCTTCAAAAGTAACTAGCAGGTATTTCCATAGTGACAGAAATCTAATAGTACACAATCACAAATCAAAAATTGGAGTAATCATGTCACCAAATGCTGGCACATAAGTATAAAAGTACTCAAGTTATTAGGCAAGGGAAAACAAAATTTATGGTTACAAAGTGCTATCACTACAAAAGTGCTGGCAAAGATGTGGAGCAAATGGAATGCTCATACATTACTGGCACCACAGGTTAGTAACTTTTAAAAAAGTTAAACAGATATTTACCAAAATCTAGCCACTTCACTCTCGGGTATTTACTCAAGAAATTAAAAATATACCCAAATGGGGCTGGGGATTTAGCTCAGCGGCATAAGAGCCTGCCTTGCAAGCAAGGTAGTCGTGAGTTCAATCCCTGGTACTGATAAAAAGGAAGAAGACAAAAAAATATATATATACCCAAGACTTGTAGATGAAGGTCTTGTTAATTTGTAATATCTCACAACTGGAAGTTATCCAAAGGTCTATCGGCAAATAAATTATAGAGAACCCTTTCCTGTCCTATCATTTTCCAGGAAGGTTTATATTTGTAAGCCCAAAGGGAAATTATTGGAATTCCACTAATTTAATTCCAATCTACCACTTCCAGTACAACCCATGGTGAGAAGACAGTAGATATACACAGTTGTGGGGAGCCAAGCGGTCCTAAGTCCAATAAAGAGCGTGGTTCACCAAACAAAGGCCTCACCTACAGCTCTTCTCAGATTTTATTAATTCTTCATGAGGGGAGAGGCTCAGGGATGAGTGACAGTGAGTGTCGGGACATAGGTGACTGCCAGGAGCTGGGCTAAGAGGTCTGATGAGCATCTTTGCTGATATTCAGAGAGCAAGAAATGCAGCTCCTCAGCCAGCCCAATTTACATTACTTAAAGCCAACTGAAGGGGCAAAGAAATAACCTAGCCAGCTCTGTACACATCAATAGATGGGGGACAGGGTCAAGTTTAGCCAAAATGGAATAGTGGCTTCTGTTTTCCAGAAGTCCTCTCAATGGCTCCCCACATAAATGGCTAAAAGCACTTTGGTATTTCCATACAATGGGTAACTATCCAGCATCAAAAGGAAATTAACTATTTTATAACATAACAGATGAACGTGAAAGTAGTCTATGTGAAATAAGGTAGACAAAAAAAAAAAAAAAACCCGCGTACAGTAACTGCTCAATGTCTATGAAACTGAAAGAAAACTTTGTATAGTGGCAGGGCAGCTCAGCGCCTGGCAAAGTGGGCTGCAGAGGGGCAGGAAACAGGATGACAACGGAGCCACAGGAAATCTGGAAAATGAGCCATGTGCACTGTGCTCATCATGACGGTGGCTTATGGACGCAAACGTGCTAGGACTTACCAAATTGTGCAGTGTAAATCTTTGCACACCCTTTTTATACCTTAATAAAGCTTTTAAAGTGCAGTGAGAAGGAAAACATTTCCATATACAAAAGGCAATGTCCGACAGAGGTGCTAAAAAGTTCCATCGGCCAAGAAGCTCCAGACGAAGAAAGGATGCCCGGCTGCCTAAGAGGGACGCTGAGCCCCGCGAGGCCGAGCCACGAAGCCGCCCTCTCGGGGTTGCGAGGGGCGGGCGAGGGCACGCGACACCGCAGGGCCTGAAGGTGGAGACCAAACACATACCCCCGGCTGCGTCGGGGCCTACCACGGGGCCAGAGTCCCGGAGCTCGCGCTTTCTCAGGAGCTGTTTTCAGTAGGCGGGGCGGGGCGGAGTCAAGAAGTCGCAGGAACCTCCTCGCCGCGGCCTCAGGACTGGCCCCAGGGAAACCCAGCCTCAAGCCCCGCCCGCTCCCTCTTCCTCCCGACGTGGGCTTCCGCTCCGAGAGACTCCACCCGCCTGGCGGGGGCGGGGACGCGCATGCCCCGCCCCCAGCGCCGCACCGCGGCGCACAGCCTCGGCAGGGTCGCTTTACGGCCGGGGCGGCCAAGAGGGCGGGTGGTAGGCTTGTGGTGCGAGGCCGGAGTGAAGGCTGTGCGAGAGGCCTTTTGCGGCAGGACGTAAGTGACAGCAAAGGCGGCGGAGTAGCTGCTGGAGGGCAGAGGACCCGGGTTCGTGTTTCCCGGGCCGACCGGAATGGGGTGTGGGGCGCGCGGCCCGGGGCGGGGACTACGGCGACGCCCCGCTGCAGCATGGGCGGGGCGGGGGGGGAGCTGTGCGCGTCTTCGGCCGCGGGGCGGGCCTGCGGGGTTGGCGGGCCGGAGTCCCGGTCCGGGCGGGGGCTCTGACCCGGCTGCCTCCCTCCTTGCACTTGCAGCGCGGCCGGTCTGTCCTCGCCATGCGGCCGCAGCAGGCGCCGGTGTCTGGGAAGGTGTTCATTCAGCGAGACTACAGCAGTGGCACACGCTGCCAGTTTCAGACCAAGTTCCCTGCGGAGCTGGAGAACCGGGTACGTAGCAGGCTCCCGCACCCGTGCGGGTCGGGGAGGGACCCCGGGTTGGGAGAGTGTGGGCCGACTTCCGGTCCCCGGCGTCTCGGGGTCCGTGGCCTGAGATGCCGGAAGAGGGTACGGGCTCGTGTTTGGAGAAGGGAAATAAGGCCAAGCCCCGGGATAAAAAGATCTTTTCTAGAACTTTTGAGATGCTCAGCGCCGGGAATCTGTGCTCAGCGGTGTTCCAAGCTGCTGACCCGGTGCCCACGTTCGATTATTGACAGCAGCGATAAGAAGCGAATTCCTGAGGCTCCAGGGGCCTCGCCCAGCAGGTTGTAAACTATGTCCTCCTACTTCCCGCACGCAAGAGAAGGCATCGTCATTCTCATGACAAACATTTGCAGTCACCGTGCTGCTCGCACTGCTGAGTTGAAAGGGTCAGGCCTTCTTGGAAGCTGAAAATCGTAGAGCATTTCGTGAGCTAGGAAGTCAGGTATCTCTGGGCAAGGAATTAAACTCGCTGTTATGATCCTGTTCGGCTTGCGTATCAAAACGGTCGTCAGATCATAGGCGCTTTGGGCCATCCTAGCAAGGAGAAATGGAAGAATAGGATTTGTTTCTCTTTTCTACCGAGTTAATCCTTCCAAAACTGTATCCCGTTGTCAAAGTTTGATGTGTGTTTGTCTGTGGATGTGTGTGTGCGTGTGTATACTCAGCCAAAAAGCATCTGTTTCCTGTTGAAAGTCAATTTCTGATTATTTGGAAGCCGGTTTGTAGCTGTTCCCTCTTTGACAGGGAGGGTGAGGAACTGAAGTAATTAAGCATGATTCTTTGTATGGGGCTAAAAAATGGACTAAGCGGGCAGAGATGACTGTACTAGACAAATGTATAGCAGCCATTTAAAGTCGGTTTGTAGGCTGAGGTTGTACCTCAGTGCTGGAGCCCATGCTGAACCTGAAGTTAATCGCTAGCACCAAACTTAAATAGATTTCGTCAAGATGTGTTAGTTTACCTGACTGCTACCATTGGAAAATCAACAGTGATCATTTATGGTTTGCTTCAGCTTGATTTATAACCACAGGCAAGTTAGTGACCTAAGTGTTTCTTTAACTACAAATTGAAGATCAGACATACCTTTCAAAGATGAAGTGTAGATTTACTTATTTGCAAAATGCCATTTAAGTGCTGCATTTTGTGGTCAATAATGTTAATTTAGTGTGACAATAGTGAACATTTACTTGAGCAGTAGACTGAAGAGGTAAAAATTAAGCAAGTTGCCAGTTGGCTAGGGCTGCTGAATGTTTTGTTTTGTTTTGTTTTTAAAGTAATTTGGCCTAACAGTTAATGTGTTGTGTGTGTTAAGACATAGTTGAAAAGGATCAAATGTTTTGTTTTTAAACTTCTTATGAAAACTATGATTTAACAGTTTATGTACTTCGAAATAATGTAAACCATTTTTTTTCATCACACTTAACTTCCATGTTGTGTTTATAGGTTTGAAAATTGAACTTCCGCTTGATAGTTGAACCAAATAACATGTATGCAGAATCTGACATTAGCCGTTCAGAACGTGTGGTGGGTAGTGCTTTATACAGTGTAAGTACAGAAGCTGGATGCAGTCACAACGCTGTATTGACTCTTAGCGAAAGTTGATGTTCCTACATTCTGGTGGGGTTTGTTTTTGTTTTTGTTTCACTTTATAAACTTCATAAGAGCCCAAAACTGCTTGTGGTGCTGAGTACTATGTGGAATATTATATATTGCTATATTATGCCTTTGAATGTTTTTCTTTTAAATGTTTGGTTTAAATCACTAGCTTAAACCTTAAACCACTCAGAAAAGCTTTGATTTTTTTTTTCTGTATTGATTAAATTACAGATATAACTGTGTGATGGGAAATTGAAAGGTTTCTTTATTCTTATCCTAGAAGTGTTACTGATTGCTCTGCCACTGGGATTGATTTTCTTTTGTGAGGTCAAATTTAATAGAGAAAAAAAACTACTGTATAAATATTTTGTATTACTTCAAAGCATTAAAAAATATACACAATTAGGGAATATGGAAAAGCTGTTAATAGCTTTGTTTTCTTCACTACCTATTAGAAAAGTAATTTTTCATTGTTTAAGATTTGTTGCCAGAGGGGCCGGGGATTTAGGTCAGTGGCATAAGTGCCTGTCTGGTGAGTGTGAGGTCATGAATTTGATCCCCAGTACCAAAAAAAAAAAAAAAAAAGATTTGTTGCCAGAACAGTTCTTTAAAGGAAACTATTCTCACTTTAGCCAAAATATAGATGTTTTAGCACTTTTGTTCTGTGTAGGTGAAAAATAAGTAAAGTATAATTGAGACATACATACCTTTAAAAATAGGTCTCTTCATATTAGTAGGGGTTACCTATTGCTTGTCACCTTGAGCTTGTGATCATGTTAAGATTCTAGCCATGTAGTTCAACAAAATCCAACAGTTGTGTGAAAATGAGCCTGATTCCTATTTTACTCTGATTATTAGTGTTTATTGGTCCGAATCTGTATTTGGCTGCAACTTGACATCCCCCCACATTTTGATAAGAAGTTCCTGTATCAAGGTGCAAAAGCTCATGGGGGAACACTGCAGGCTGTCTTCCTAGGGCCTAGAGGTGTTAGATAAAAGTGCATCCGTTGGTTCTGCTGAACATTTGCATCTTGCATGCAGTTGTATGTCCATTGGTGACAGGGACGTGGTCTGAGAAATGCCTCACTTGGCAGTTTTGTTGTATACACACATGGAGCTTGTGAGGTTCCTTCACAGTTAGCTTTTTTTACAAGTAGAAGAACACTCCTAAGTAACAAAACTGTAGCATAGAATATACCAGGTATGATTGCAGTGCACAGTGAATGTTTAAATTAAAAATTTTTACAGTAAAAGACATGTCATTAATCTCCCTCAGAATCCTCCCCTCATTTCAAACACACTTCTCTCTTGATTCTTGCTACTTTCTGAATCAGTTCTGGAGTCCTCTGTTGTGTGTATCTTCTCAAGGCCTGATAAGGATACAGTGGACCTGCTGCTGAGTGCCATCCAGCAGGAAGCAGCTCATAGAAGCCGTGCGGTATTCTCTTCCCTTATTCACCAGGGTTGGCTCTGTACGCCTTCTGCTCTTCCTAAAGTCAAAATGACCGTGGAAGGTAAAGGTTTTGAATCTGTTTCAGGATGTTGAGGCTGTGACAGGGCCATTAAAGACATAAAAGAGGACTTGTAGAACTGCTTCAGGAAGTGGCAGGGGTGATAGGATGTATTCAGTGCAAAGGAGTATATTTTGAGGGAGATTAATGGTCATGTCTTTTACTGTAATTGTCTTTTAATTTAAACATTAACTGTATTTTTCAGTCACTTGTACATCAGCTGGCTGGTATGGTGATGCATACTTGGAGTCACCGCTCCTCAGGAGACTGATTGCATCCTGAGGAATTTAGCTAGACTCCATCTGAAAATATTTAAGGGAGTGGGAACCAAAGATCAAACTCATGACCTCGCACTTGCCAGGCAGGTGCTTGTGCTACTGAACTAAACCCCACCCTCAAAATAAAATTTAAAAAGACTGATACATAATACAGTGAAGAACATCCCTAGGCCTAAGACTCGGTAACACAGCAAACATTATTAAGTACTGTTTTAAAAATAGTTGCCTGGATGTGGTGGCACACTTCTAATGCCAGCAGTCAAGAAGCTGAGGCAGAACTGCCGCAAGTTCAAGGCCAGCCTGAACTACGCAGTGAGACCCTGTCTCAAAAGTGAACATCAACCTGGGACCTTGTCACTCACTAAGAATTATGCACTGATCTGAACCTGATGATTACACCTGTCACTGCAGCATGCCCAGAGATTGAGCAAGAGGATCAAGCAGCTTAGCCTGGGCAACTTAGTAACGTAGCAAGACCCTGTCCAAAATAAAAACGTTTTTAAAATTGGACTAGGAATGTATCAGTGTAAAGGCCTGGGTCCAAGCCCTGCTACCACAGAAAAGAGCCCGGATGACTCTAAATTGCACATGCTGTACTTCTATGCAACTGGCTTAGAAATGTTTTGAGAAAACAAATGAGAAATGTCAAGATGCCGCTTAGTATGTCATGAGACACTAGGGATTTTTCAGCTGCACTTTAATCTTGTGGGACCAGTATCGATGCGTAATTCATCATCTAAACTGTTACGTAACACGACTGTTGTAATGTCGGGGGATGAGGGCACAAAACCCAGGGCCTTTCCACTGAGTCATATTCCCAGACCTATTTTGAAACGGTCTCACCAAAGTTGCCCAGACTAGGCTCAAATTTGTGATCTTCCTGCCTCACCTCTCAGAGTACTGAGACTGCCTTTTGTTTTTCTCCCCCGCCCCCTTTTGTTTTTTTTTTGAAACATGGTCTTATTTTGTAGTTTAGGCTGATCATGAACTCCATTATGTGGCCCAGGCTGGCCTCAAAGCCAAAGCAGTCCTCCAGCTTCCACCTCCCCAATGCTGGGATTACAGGCACATGCCACCACACCCAGCTGTGCCCAGCTTTTTATTTTTAATGTTTAGTATTATTACTTTATTTTGAATTTTTTAAATGACACATACACTTCAAAAGCTATACCTATAAAGAAATAGATATGGGGGCCAGGAGTTTAGCTTAGCGGGCATATAAGCCTGCTTGGCAAATGCAAGGTCATGAGTTAGTTGGATCCCTGGCACCAAAAAAACAAAAAGAAATAGATACAAACTGATACCTTTTGTTTGATTTTATTATATGTGATATGAACAGCTGTTTTGAAAAAAAACGACATTATAATAGCCATTGCTGATTTAATATCATCTTGGTTTGAAGTCCTACCATGTTTTTGTTCTTCTGTTTCCATTTTTTTTTTTGGTTTTTTGGTTCTGAATGCTGGGTAATACTTTCATTCTCTTGAATGGTTTTAGACTATTTTGTTACATTTGATACTGTTGTATGTGAAGGTATACTCAACTGTTTCAAAGAAAGAGACATTTTGGTAGCTCTGTTAATATCGGATTGTCTTGTGGTGAAGTACTGTGTTGCTTACATTGTTCTGTTCTGATCTACTTTGTTCTGTCTCTCTTCTGTCTTAATCTCTTTAAAATAAAAAAATTTAAAACTGATTTCTAAAATATACTTGAATTATTCAAAGTGAACCTCATTAAAGTTTTTAGTTTATAAATACATTATAAATAAAGATGTTAAGAAACTTAAATATCTGTACATACAATGATAGGTATATGTAAAGTACTGAAATATTCTTTCAAGTTTAAAGTACCTCTCCTAAGAACTGAATTCAAGTGAAGTGAAATAAAATTATACCAGTATTCATTTTACATTATAGATGCAAAGTTACAAACCAAAAGTTTAATCAATACAGGATATTGAGGATAATCTAATACAAATTCTAGCCACATCTGCTACTAAGGAAGTATGTGTAATTTTATAGAAAATCACTTCTAGTGAAAGTATCAACAGAATAAACGAAAGAAACTGCTAGCAATCTTGTATAAGCAATTGAAGTTCAATCTTAATAAGTAAATTGCTTAAGTCATATTTACTAGTGGCTTTGAAACCTGTGCACTCTGTAGTGGCTTCATCGGTTGTGAAATGGTTTTCTATAATACTGACATTTTCTTTAGATAACCTGTTTTCCTGTCCTAGCTGGCTTTCAAGTGCTTCTGACCTCAGCCTTCCTAGAGCTTCTTGTTCCTGTAGCTCGAGGTCAGTTGTCTTTGGAGGTAGCACAGAGACTTTTTGTAGTATTTTGGTCTACATCTGTACACAAGGATCCCTCAGCATCTGTGTTGTCCATTTTCAGAGGTTGGCATAAAAGAACTAACAATAGGTTTAGAATTTTCTGTATGTACAAAAATGGCAATAAGAGGCTGTGTTTGATTGAACTGCCTGATTGATTGTGCCAAGTAAGAATGGATTTTCCTGGGAATTAATTTCCAAGGAATTATTTGGAAAACCTAGAGTATCAAGATGATGGGCAAGCACTTCTTGGCTTTTCAGCAACTACAGGATACCTTCAGAATTAGAAGTTGTCAAAGTAATAGTTGTAGTTTTGATTCTCAGACGATTTGTGAAAACCACCGCCACCTAAATCTTGGTTGACTGATGATCTCAGAGTAGACTATGTGAATTGTTGAAACCCTGTCTCAAGATAAAAAAATAAAGAATGGTGTGAGGATGTACTTAGTGTGAAGGTTGACTGGTTGTTCGGTATCTTGCGTGATTAGATTAAGTTAACATGTCATTTTGTATACTTTCATTTGGGGAGCTGGTGCGTTTACCATGTCGTATGAATCAAGTACTGTATGTTCATCTGTGTCAGTTGCATTTTTCTTTGCCTCATTAGATGTAAATGTTTTTTTTAGACTTGGCTTTTGGATATACTTCTTTCCCCTCTTCAGGTTTTGCTTCTGAGGTTTTTTATTTTTGTTTTTGTTCTTGTTCGGAAAGGCCTTTTCTCTTGACTGTCTTTAGGCAAAGAAAATATTGTTCAAATTGCAGGGGGTTTGTTTGTTTTGAGGCAGGGTTTCACTATGCTGTTGAGGCTGGCCTTGACTCCCAGCAACTCCCCATGCCTCAGCCTCATGAGTACTGAAATTATAGGCTTGTGTCACCACACCCGGCCTGAATTGCAGTTTATTCAATCCGATATCGGGAGAGTCAGAAGTAAAACAGTCACCGTAACCACCTTCAAGTCATCCTCTGTTGTGTAGAGGAAATGTGTTCTGTATGTACTAATGAAGGCGTGTAACCTCTGAACAGGATACAGTGATGACCAGCTGTGATACAGCCTTCAAGGATGGCTAATTCCCCAGTCTTTCTGGCTTCAGTCTCCTCAAGAGAAAACGGATTCACAAGTACTCATAAGCAAGGAACTCTGGGCATATCTCCCTGCTTAGCAGGTTTGATAGACCCTAGATGAGATCAAAGAAGAAGAGGCGGAGGTTCCAAAATCCATCAAGAGCCACTCAGACTGTTCAAACCCAAGCCAGCCGCTCAGCCTCTCCAGCAGCAAGGTCTAAAGAGGCGCCGTGTCCACAGCTCCAGCAGCTCCCCTCACACAGTACCAGGCCACTAAGGGCACGTGACTGATTTCTAGTCCTGATGGGAGGTACCTGGTCTCTGGCTCTGAAGCCCACAGGCTGTGTGTGGCCAGGAGTGAAAGTTTTTTGAACAGTCTGTGTGTAATCCAGGTTGCCTTGCACTCACTGTGTAGCACAGGCTCCTGCTCAGACTCCCGAGTGCTGGGCTTACAGGCAGGCACAGCACACCCAGCTGCGTTGTTACTGCTGCCTTCCATGCTTTTGTTTTTTAATTTCCCTTTGGAAAGCTGTTCATGGAGGAGAGCACCTAGCCTGTACCAGTCCCTCAAAAACTTTTTGGTGCTTTTGTTTTTTTACATTTTTTTATTTCTTTTTTTCTTATTAACCTTTTTTTAAAAAATCCTTTACTTTGGTGGTTTTTAAAAAACTAATCTATAATTTGCCTCCATCCTGTAAAACATTGTAATCTCAAAATAACTGAAAGATTAGGATAGTAGTATAAACAGTATTAAAATTTGAAAGAAAATGTTCCTGGTTTGGATTCCAAGTTTTGAACTGCATGTATAGAAATGTAACTAATTCAAAGGAATTTATCATCATAACATTGTAGGCGAATCAGATGTGATTAAAATTAATTAGCTTATTCATGTATCAGTAGATGAACTGGACGCATTAATTTAGGAATAACTAGGTGCATATACTGATCCACCATTCGTGGCTGTCCCCTGAGCCCTTCTGAGTGCTGTCTCGGGGGAAGGGAGCAGTGCCCTCTGTTGCTGCCATACCTTCTGTTCAGAGGAGTGAGGGACACTGCTGGCTTTCGCCCACCTCTGCCATCCCACTCTGGTGAGTGCCTCATCACACTGTAGAGCAGATGGGCTCCTTTGGAGAAAGCAGCTCCCAATTTCCAGGTTACATTCAGCTTTCTCATGCCACTGGCTCATGTACAACAGGCTTTTGACTCAAAAGAAATCTTGATAGTTTAAGGCATTGGTGGCAAACTACATGCGTGTGTGTTTTCTTATAAAACAAAAGATAATGTATGAACTAATGTATAAACTAAAATCTTGGCGTTAGGTTTAATTACAGTGTTGGGGCTTTGCAACTAATAAGTGGGTTTTAGGTTACAGTTTGGGCTCTCATCTCTAAAAAGGTCCACCACCACAGTTTTAAGGGATCATAAATTGTTTTATATTTCATAAGTTACATTCTTCAGAATATTTTGTCTTATTGTAAATTGAGTTTTTATTAATCTGTTTCTGCTTAAAGATTTCACTGAAAAGATAATTTATGCCGGTGTGGTAAATCCTAGCACTTGGGAGGCTGAGGCAGAGGATCACCATAAGTTCAAGACCAGCCTAAATGATATAGCAAGTCCCTGTCTCAACAAAAAAAAGGAAACAATTCATGAATAATTAGTATCTTAAAAATAAGAGAGACATTATGCAAAAGAAGGGCTAAAGTGAGGCCAGGTGAGTCATGATTCGTTAGTTTGTTGTGGCCATTATGTCTTGGAACGAAGTATTGAGATTTGAGATGTGCAGTGCATTATAAGAACCACGTAACACTGACAGAAAGTAAACAGGTGACTGGGTGAGGAAATGAGTGGGCAGTAGTAGTGTTGTCTGGCACCTGGTCGGCAGCTTCCTAACCTGTGAACACCCTGGAGCGTCCAGCACGAACCGAGGGCGGCCGTGGTTCTCGCAGTGTACTGTGGGCCCCCAGTGTGTGTGCATTCTGTCCCGGACTCAGAGATCCCCTTGTGCGCTGACTGTATTAGTGGAAGAGAAGATAACAGTGTCAGAGAGAGGAACAATTGATGCGAAGAGTTACGTGTCCACTGGAGATTCTGTTCCATGCTCTTCAGCGCCTGAGCTTTCAGTCACAGGATGGTTACTGTAAGGAGATAGGAGGCCGGGGTGGTGATGCCTTCTTACAATCCTAGCGCTCTGGGAGGTGGACATAGGAGGGTCACAAGTTCAGATCCCAGCTGGGGACTCTGGTAACATCCTGTTTCCTTATTTAAAAATGAAAAGGACTAGGGTTGTAAAGCAATGTGGTAGCCCTGGGTTCAAGCCCCAGTACCTCCAGAGAAACAAAAAGAGAAAGGTGGAAGCAGAATAGAGAACACAGAGCTGGTACCTTTTTCTCAGCCCTGTGCTGAGAAGGTCCTTCCTTTTCTTTTTGCCTAGAGAGTGTGTTTAAGATTACCTGCCTCCCCCAAACAGAAGGGCCCTCTGTGTTTCCCCTCTACACTTAGCTATGTGTATATGCTAGTGCTTTGTTTATTGGATTTGTCCGTTCACCTGTTTGTCTGCTTTTATAACTAAACTCTTAAAGGTTTGAGGCAGAGTCTTACTCATCTTCCAGCTCTCCTGCATCAAACCTCAAGAGCTTAGATATAAAGAAAGGACACAAAAAGAAGTTGTTAAATGTCAATAAAAGGGAATGAAAACAGTAATCGATTGTAGAATTTACTTGAAAAACAGTGTTTTAAAATGCTGTATTAAGCTTGGAGGTTATTCTAGAGTCCATAAGAGGAATAAAATTTTAAAAGTCCCGCAGACTGGGTGTGGTGGTACACAACTGTAATCCCAGCACTTTGGAGGCTGAGACAAAAGGATTGTCTCAAGTTCAAGGCCAGCATAGGCTACATAGTGAGTTGAATGAAAACTAGTCTGAACTACAGAGCAAGACCCTGTCTCCAAAAAAAAGTCCCAGGCAGTCTCAGTAACTTAGATCCAGATTTAGTCATCTAAAGAATCATTTATTCATATGCCAGCTTTTAGATTAAAAGTGAATGATAGCAAACATTAAAGAATTGTTCATGTGTTTTCCCATGTTACTTTAAAATTCTTTTTTGTTTCCTACAGGTTGATAGGCAACAGTTTGAAGAAACCGTTCGAACCCTAAATAACCTGTACGCAGAAGCAGAGAAGCTCGGGGGCCAGTCCTATCTCGAAGGCTGTTTGGCTTGTTTGACAGCATACACCATCTTCTTATGCATGGAGACCCACTATGAGAAGGTGAGGAAGGCTGTGTTTGTTGTTACGAAAAAGGTGAATTTATTCCACATGTGTGTTTACATGGTAACAAGTGCCATCACCTTAAAGGGATGTTTATAATAATTCCAGGGCCAGGGATACAGCTCAGCAGCACAAGTGCCTGCCTGGCAAGTACAAGGTCCTGAGTTTGATTCCTGGTACCAAAAAAAAATGCATTTATAATAATTCCAGTTTTGTCATTGCTTCTCTGGCGAAAGCACTTAGGGATGATTCCTGAGTGTTTCGGAAACAGATCAGAAGTGGAATGTCTGCTTGAATAGACGTGTCTGCTGAGATCAGCTACACTTCAGACCAGCAAAGAAAATCTATATTCATTCTCATTATATCCAGCTCTTGAAAATTCTTTTATTTCATTTTCCCAAATTTCTATCTTTAGTCCTATCCTCAAACCTCAGTTATTGTCTGTTTCCAGCTGCCTGCCAAATTCATAGTTGCTAGCTTTTTAATGTAAGATTCCCAGAATTCAAGCAAGCCTTGCGTCTCTGCAGCTCTGATCAGTAGTGCCGTGTCCTGTTAGGGCTGTCTTCAGGCTCAGGGAATGAAGAGGGAAGATGAACCGAGTCATAAGAGTGCCGTGCATGTTCCCACGCATTAGCTTTTCACAGTTTCCTGTCATTGCCTGACTTGTACCTTTCCTGTCTCTCCTGGACTAATGAAATTGTATCTTGGTCTCTCTTTCACCTTTTGTGTTCCCATCTTCATAAACCATAACCTTTTTCTTCCGCCCCGACTACCAGGTCCCAGAGCTTCCTGTGTGTCCAGGTGCTGTTCCTGGGTCGGACCCGGTTCACCCTGACAGCTCTCACCTCCCACCCTTCCTTCGCTGTCTGCATCAGCCACCAGAGGTTCCCTCTGTGGTGTTCCTCCACCTCAACTCACCGGATCCCTTATTCCTCATGCCCGTCTGCCTTCTTCAGACTTCTGCTCAGAATCCTTTCTTTCTGTGTCTCACAACATGTGATTTATATCTATTTTCTGGCATTCTACTTTGAAATATGAGTTTATGATCTTATTTTACCTTCTGTATATTCTTGGATCAAGGACAATGCCATAGCCCTTTTTGTATCCCCTTTGTTAGCTTAGACCAGGCTTTGGGTACATTAGGCACTCACTAATAAATGAATGCATGTTACATCAATGGCTTTCAGTTAATTGTCACAATAAACCCCAAATACATTTTTAAATTCCAATGTTTAGAAGATGAAACCATGTAAGAATAATCTCTTGCATTCCACCTGATAGAAGTAACCCTGTTATTGTTTTACACTCCACATAGTGGAGAATAGATACTGTTACTGCTAAAATACTTTGAGCACTTGGTGGAAATGATGGTACTTTTTTTTAATGCCCAACCGTAGATCTCTTCATGACTTATTCACTAGTATCTGAACATGGACTCTGTAGTCTTAACTATAATGCCATGTTATATGAAAAGATTTAAGGAACCATTTAAGTTATTTGTTAAATAGCTAGTAGTTTATATACTCTGTATCACACTGCTAGCTTATTCCTGTTTAACTTTCAAAATCAGAACTTATCAAGAATCAGTATCAGCTTTCAATTTATGTTTAGTCTTACTATCTCTTCAACAATGTTTGGGTGAGTGAAGGATCAGAGGTTTCATTCATTTGATAAATATTCATTAAATTCTTACTATGTGCTAAGCAAGGAAGCAAATTAAGAAACTCCTCAGAAGTCCAGGCAAAAAGATGAAAGCTTGGGCTAGAGATGGAGCAGTATAGGTAGAAGGAAGAAAAGGGTGCCAGAGGGTGTGTGGAGAGTAACACCGTCCGGGACTCAAGTTGCTGAAGGCAGGAGCGGAGGGAGGCCAGGTTCATCCGCATTAAAATGTGGGCTTCCTGGATGGCCATTCACGGAGCTTATGGCATTGCCAGTTACGATTTTCTATCTAGATAGACAGATAGGTAATATACATACATGTATGTGCTGACAGTGATAGATACGTCCTACTGATGTGAGTTGTAAAAAAAATTAGTAATTGCTTGCCAGCCAAACACATTCACCCCTGAGTTCTCTCAACTGTAAAGTGAATCTTAAAGAGTTTAACATACTGCCTCACATATGATAAATAATAAACATTTTTAATAGCATTTGAAATGAAGTTAGTGTCCGTAAATTTTAATCAGGTATTTGTGAGCTCACATGTATTTTTGTTTCCAGTATAAGTGATATTTTTAGACACATGCTGGTTTATTTAGACACTAAAATACTTAGCAGATTTCTGTTCTGTGTGGTGGCTCATGCCTGTAATCTCAGCACTTGGGAGGCTAAAGAGATTATAAATTTGGACTCCATCACAAGTTCAAGGCCAGCCTGGACTACATAGTAAGAAGCTGCTTCAAAAATGAACAACAAATACTTAACAGCTGACAGTTAAAGATTCTTTTTATTATATATCTTAGAAGATGATTCTGGTATCAAATACAGTGAAAACTGGCTCATTGTGGTGTGTGTTGATACACTGAACTTTAAGTGCTTTGCAGGGGCCAGGGTAGTTGTAAGCACCTCACGCTGTGCAAGGAGGGCCCTGAGATGGGGGAGTGGCTCCTGGCAGGAGGAGGTACCTGCTTATGTACAGGGGAGGGAGGAGAAAAGGCTTGCACTGCCCCCCTTTGCTCTGGCTTCTTTTGATGGCTTCTGCCGCTTCTGACCTGTTGCCCTGTGCCACGCTGTCCTGGAGCTGGCTGATTATGGACCGAAACCTCCACAAACTGAGCTAAATAAACCTCTCCTTCCTTAATTTTGGGTGTTAGGTATTTTGTCTCAGCAATGAGAAGAGTAACTAAGAGAATGTTTTGAGTTATGGACAGCATACAAGGTACAACTTTATAGGTCTGATCATGATCTGTTTTTATAGAGCAAGATTAAAAAGCAAATAAAGATCAAATAAAATTAATCAAGAGTTAAGGCATGGCCACATTTTGGGGGCGTACTAGGAATCAAACTCACAACCGTGTGCTTTCAAGCCAGGTGCTTATGCTACTGAGCTAAATCCCTGGCCTCCACAATTTTTAAATAGACAATTTTTTTTAAGAAATTGAATAGAATAACTAGCTCATGCAAAGTTAATAACTGAAATAAGGTATAACGTGCCTACACTTGTAAAAGGAAACTTTTTAAGTGTTTATTTTATTTCTGATGACAAACGTACAAGAACAGTTTTCTCTTGTTAGTCCCCTCAGAATTTCTGTGCTATTTATTTATTTATTTTTGTCTTTTTCTTTTTATCGGTACCAGGGATCGAACTCAAGACCGCACACTTGCAAGGCAGGCGCTTATGCTGCTGAGCTAAATCCCCAGCCCCACTATTTATTTCTTAATGAAAGGACAGGGTTGATTCATTTAGTCTATTGTTTCAAACACCGAAACTCCTATTCTACAAACAGTAACCCAGATACAGTGCTTAGAGTTGGTCCTGATGTTACATTTTTGGAATTACAAATAGGCCTTTTAAAAGGTACTAGCATAATCATGTATTTTGTTTCTTATAACATGCTATTTATTGATTTAAAATGAAAATAGACCTCAGTGTTACTTCTCTATTGTTGCCATTAGGGAACAAATGAGCTTATGGAAGATTCTCCCCCTCAGTGTCTGCCCTATTTATCAGCAGAAGGCATTCCTTCTACCTGAGTGCTATCATCTGTAAAATGAAGTTAGGGGGATACTTCAGTATTTACTGAAAATGCCAAGGTTCAGAGTTCTCACTGAACCTCGCTCACGCTGTTTTCCTGGAAAGCCTAATCGGCTGACTATAGTATAATATTCTCAAGAACAGTCGTCCTTTCAGAGGCAGAGGTTCAGTTGCATTTCATTTTGTCAACATTAAAATTATATTGAGTTGAAGAAAAACATAATGTCATAAATTTTGTAGGAATTTTCTTACATAATAGTAAGTGAGGGCTGGTGATTTAGCTCAGTAATGTAAGCACCTGCCTGGCACGCGTGAGGTCCTGAGTTCCATCCCCCGTACCAACAAAAAAAGACTAGAAGTCAGTGAAAGGTGTAAGGGGGAGAACAGTGCTGGCTGCTGCTGGGAGTCGCAGCCGTTTACTCATACTGGTGACTTTCATTTGCTAACAGGATGAAGCCTTAAAAGCACTTGCTTGGGACAGTGTTGCCTTCACCAAAGTACTAAAGAGTATTTGGAGCTTATGCAAAAATAAAACCAGTATTTTTCTTTCTGAGCTGAAGCAGGCTTTAATGAAAACCTTGTCCAATGAAGTTACACTTGAATCAAAAAAAGGCATGCTGCTTCCTGGTAGGGCTGCGTACCCAGGAGAGGAGGAGAGCTGTTCTGAAGGAATCTTTTCTTCGCAGCCAGCTGTGTGAGCATTTTTCTGAGCTTCCCCTCCAGCATTAGTGGGCAGGCTGAAGAAAGACTGGGCCTCCAGTTTCTGGTCCTGATTCTCAGGTATGCTCAGAAGAAACCTGGAGAGAAGACTGCACGCCCTGGGTTGGAGAACTTTATAGGCAGCTTCCTTTTCATTACTTTAGGATGACAGTCTCTGAAAGATAGTGCCAAAGGGTTGTTCTTTCTTTCTTTTTCCTCGTAATGACCAAGCACAACTCAAATTCTTTTGAGAGCTGAAAATAGGAGAGTGATACATGTTGCGCAAGGTAATTAGATAGGGAAAAAAAAAAAACCTTTAGTAATAGTTTTACTAAATAGAAAACATTGCAGATTGCACTTTCAATAATATCACTTTTTTTGAGACAGGGTTTTGCTATGTAGTTCAGACTAGCTCTGAAGTTACTGTTTCCCTGGCTGGCCTCAAACTCATGGCAATCCTCCTGCCTCAGCCTTTCGAGTGCTGGGATTACAGGAGTGCACACATAGCATATCACCTCTAAAAGAGAGAAACATGAGTTGCATTATCTCCAAATAAGTAATCTGAATAAACTATTTTGCTTCCAAAAAAATTTCTTGATACAATCTAGCAAACTGGCCTGTGCTGTCCTTGGTCCCAGTCCCTGCCTAGGTGCCACCTGGGAGAAGCCGACCCACTGCACTGAGCTTTTCCATGCCCAGGGTGTCACTAATAGGGGCCTAGTCCTGCTAATTGGCTCCCTTGGTTGGAAGTTGGGAGGAGATGAATGCCAGAAACAGAGAGTCAGTTTAGCCTGTAGGCAGCAAGGGACCCCTCCTGTCAGGCTCAGGCTCGTCCTGCTTTTATTCAAACAGGGCTATAAGCAATTCAAGTAACACAAGACTCATCTGCCCTAGCGCAGCCCAAGTAAACACCTGATCTCAACTGTTACCAGCTCCCTAGAACGAGCAACAGTGTTGCTTTTCTCCTTTGTACTCACAGAGAGGCCAGTTAGACCTCAATTTGTGCCTCTGGTTTCTCACAAGGTATAAGTTTTAAATTGTAAATCCACTTATACAAAAACATCTAAATTGCAACATCCTAATTTGTTAGTTCGGCCTGGTATGTTATACATGCATAGTTAAATCATTGCTTTAATTCTAGCTTTACTTTTACAGTTCTTTTTTCCCTTTATGTTGCAATCACATTTTTTACTTTATCATTTGCTGATAGTGGAAATTTAAGGAAATACATAATAATTTAAAGATCTAGATCAAACACTCTTTGAATATTTGACCCAGAAAAGGTTAGGGTGACTTTGAACCTGAAATTTAAAAAAAGTCTTTGATTTTGGATAAAGCTATTACTAAGATTTCTTTTCACCTGTCTACTTAGAATTGTCTTTATTGAGGTTGGAAATTTGGTTATTTCCAGAAGTTCCTTGTCTCCTCTCTGGTTTTTCTCTGCGTTTGCTTTGACTTTTACAAGCTGCGTACTAAACGTGTAAATTGAGGTTCCTGTCTAGAAAACAGACCAGCTACAGAACAGCACTCCACACAAACATGGAAATGATACAAACCACTCATGATCAGAAACTCCAGGCACCTAATATGTATAAGGCTTTACAAAGAAAGAAGGTTTCCACTTTTAAAATGAGGGGGCACCTTTGGTTACAGGCCAGCCTTACAGCATTGCTTAAAATGAACGAAAATGTACGAGGGGGTATGATAGCTCTGAAGTGTTAAAAGAGAAGGCCAAGAGTATCCTTCTGTTAAAAAAGTCACAGTGACACTTCATGAGTAGTGAAAGGGAAGTGTTACTCTGAACCTAACCTGTTTCTCTGTATCCAGGACTGAGGAGGAGGGGTGGTTCTCATCTTGCTTTTGTTATACTGCCTTGAAGACATTGAAGAGCTGTCGTACTGTCCTGTGTGCAGTCATTAGTAAGCAAGACAAGCAGGCTCTGGTCTGCCTTACAAATACCCATCTGGCTTGCCTTAAAATCGAATTCCACTTTCTAAATATTTTGAGTTATAGATGATTCTCCAAGGAGAACCTAATGAAACATTTAAAAAGCTGTGGTGTTTCTTTCTGCCAGGTTCTGAAGAAAGTCTCCAAGTATATTCAAGAACAGAATGAGAAGATATATGCTCCCCAAGGCCTTCTCCTAACAGACCCCATTGAGAGAGGACTTCGAGTTGTATCTTTTTAGTCCAGATCATACACTCTAATTGCTAATTTTTTTTTAATTGGTACTATTTGGCATTGACTAGAGACAGTTTAACTTCCGTAAGGATTGGTCCCCTGCCATTCTTTCTTTCTCAAAGCCCATTTCTGTTCTTTGCATTGTGCAGATCTCTGAAATTCTGGTTACTGTCTGTCTTGGTGTTCTGAAGGCATCTTGCCATAATGATGGGGTTGTGTGAGTAATGCATTTCAGCTGCAGAGGCTGAGCCTGACATGCCTTTGAAATGTATAAACTCATAATAGTCATCCAAGTGAAATGCATTTCCACAGGTTCACCTGACTAGCTGAAATCGGTGACAGCTGGTAGATGTATAATTTCATTACCTTTGACGTACTGTGCATGTTTTCAGAGGCAGTAAGCTCTGAAAGTAACTGCAATTTGATAAATAAAATTACCCAAATAAAACTAATTTAGCTTAGTAACTGAAGTAATGGGTAAATAAATTTTTTTAATTTAGACTGCATGATTCTGGCTTCCCAGTGATAATTCATCAGTTTTATCATTTGTAGTAAATAATTCTTAAACTTTCCCAAGTTTAAGTTTTCACGTCACTTCAGAGCATTTTTGAATTGCTGATTTCATTACCCCCATTATTTGTCAGTTAAGAACCCCCTAGTTCTACCCACAAGTGTTCTTTTCAGATTTTTCTTTTTTAATTAACATTTGAGAAGGAATTACCTGTGAAATACTGAGTATATTTATTAAAATAGCAAAGCAGAGGAAGCATGACTAGCATAAGTAGGAAGTTTTAATAATTAAAAATGAGCTAAGTCTGTACAGAGCATGGCCATCACCTTGCCACAGCCTCTTTCTATTACGTTCCATACTGTATTTTCTTAACAGCCTTGCTGTGTAGATTGAAATTACCATTTATGAAGACAGAAGCATGAGCAGTGGAAGATAAACCATTGACTTCAAGGTAAGTATAAAATTATTTGGCTTAGATGCAGCCTTTGGAAATCTGAAGTATGCATAACTCTTCCCTATGTGATAAATGAGTCATTAAATCATGCAGCTAAGTAGTGTTACATTTGTTGTTAGCTTATTAAGCTAACTATATGAAGTGCACATGTAATCCAAGTTTTATGCACTAGTACAGTTTAGATCCATTTCCCCCTTCTATACCAGAAACTTTACCTAATGGGTAGAACCAAAATTTCTCTTTGTTTGGAATTTAATATTTGTGTATATCCATATAAAATTCTCTGATAAGTAAGAAACAAATTAGGTAATACTTATGAGCATCCATAGGCAGAATCATGTTGAGTTCCTAATAGTGTTTGTCTGGCCTTCTAAGGAACAGAAAATGGTACTTCACTGTTTCTGCCAGTTTTATCCTCTTAATTTATATACTCTTAACTGTCTTGACTTGCAGATAACTATTACTAATTAAGCAAGACAGGCACAAAATGTACCAAATCAGATGTGTTGCTCTCTAAGGCAACAATAGTAACAGTTACTATCTCAAGAGCACCTCTTACGTGGTGTGTATTGCTCTAGCAGTATTTCCAATCTCACAGGAACCTGCAGAGTATTTTCTGTTGTACAGATGAGCAAATTGAGGGGCAAATAGGTCAAGTGTCAAGGTCATACAGTTAACAAATACTGACTGTGAACCTGAGTCTGATTAACCCCACAAGGCTTCCCCACTTCCTCTGAAGACAGGAATACAGTTCATTATTCTCAGAGTTTATCCTTTTGTTTTCCCTTTCAATAGCTTTTTAAAAATACATTTTGACTGCTTCTGTCTATTTATTAAATCCTGCAAATCACTCAGCATTCCAAAACTGCCTCCCGTTAGCATTAATCACCTGAGTTCTTGAATGCTTGGGATCTAAGTGACAGCCTTGCCATATGTTTTATTTCTTTAAGAAGGCTTTGTTTTGGAACACATAGTGCTACTTGTCCATACAAGTACATTTCTCACGTGCAGTTTCCAAACTGATACTTGTCAGGCCAGCACCCGGGAAAACTGTGTGGTTTAGTTACGTGCCGTTGAAGTAGTTTGTTTGGTCACTTGCAGCTGCACTGACTCGGCAGAGCCTATTTGTCATGGTTCATTTTGCAGCTATTACTGCTTAATAGGATGTTTTTCTGAGAGGATGTAGGATTTTGAGCAATTACACACCAGAGGTTAATCTATCAATAGTCAAACAACTGGGAAATTTTGAAATGGGAAAGATTTACATTAGGAACTTCTGGATAGTTTCACGAATGCAAATATTTTTGTTCAGCACAATTTAGTTTTCAGAGTTGTGTGTTCCTTAGCCCCAGGACCCAGTGTGGACTGAGATCTTGGGGGTAAAGAGAAATAGAAGAGTAATTTATTCAATTTGGCCATTTTTAATTGTATATCTGCAGGTTGAAGTGTTACATGGAAATTGGATGAAGGATTTCACTAAAGAGCACTTATCCGGGGTCTGCATTTTTGTTTTATCTTGTTTTCCCTTGTGGTAGAAGTTGATTCTGGGGCCTTGTGCATCCTAGGCAAGCCCTGTAACCCTGAGCTATATACCACCAGCGTGTGGCTTTTTTTTTTTTTTTTTTTAAGACAGCATCTAGGGTCTTGTTACATAGTTTAGGCCTTGAACTCATCTATGTTGCCCAAGTTGGCCTTGAGCTTGTGGCAGTCCTCCTGCCTCAGCCTCCCAAGTGCTGGGATTACAGGCATTTGCCACCATACCCAGCTCTGGCCTTTATTTTTAAAAAGAGCTTTATGTTGTTGTTGTTGTTGTTTGTTTTTTTTGTACCAGGGATCAAACTCATGACCTCACACTTGGCGGGCAGGTAGCGTGTACCACTAAGCTAAATCCCCAGCCTTAAAAAAAGCTTTAAACAAAAATATTTTGGTCTTTTTAATTTTTAATATCATATAGGTATCTTTATTATTAGATCCATTGACTTTTTCTCTGGATTAAGACTTGTTTTTACATAAAAATGAAATATATTTTCCTATCACAATAACTGAGTGAGTCATAATAAAAATACAGGGGTACCTTGCTCAGTTCATGAACTTAATTTCCACAACTCTAGTTGGAAACAGAGTTAAACAGGAACTGAATCAAAGTCAGTGGTTAGGTTCAGTGTTGATCTTACTGAGAAATTTGATGTGGTTCTCAGCCAGTTTGGTTTGCAACCAGGATCCTGGAAAGAATTCAGTTTGTGAGCTGAGGTTCCACTTTAACATTTGTGGTGCTTCAGTGCCAGCACTGTTTTAAACCACTACTGTTATCATCATGGTGACTGCACAAGTCTGCTGTCCCTATTTTTCAGGTGGCAGAACTGCAGCATGAGAACATAACCCCTGTCCATGGAGCGCTGGTCACAGCGGCCAGAGCAGTGCAGCCCCGCTGTGGGTGCTTGCCCCATGCTGTGCCGCCTTGCATGACATGGTTAACTGGAGTCTAACTCAGAATTGAGTGCGGCCTCAATTTCTGCACTGTCAAGCTTCCCACTGCTTTAGACAAGTCATATATATCCAGAGATGTGCTAGGTGCAGGCATGGGTTAATGGAACAGAGCCTGTAAGAAAGATAATTTCAGAAGTTATTTTCTGCATCGATTTCTAAAACCTTTTATTTTCCTCTCTAAATGTAGATCCCACCTCCCGCTGGGACCCTCGTCCATCCACTGACTGATCACAGAGTGTCCCCTACCTCTTCTCCGAGCATCATTCCTTTGTATCTGCTGCCAGAGCCATGGTGCCATTTACTCCAAGGACTAACTTTCTAAAATTCCATACCTGGAGTGACCTCTAGTCGCTCAGCATCCACTTTGTGTCTCCAAATTGTGTAGGACTCTAATCTTGTGATGAGTTTCTGAGAAAACACCATGAAGCATTTCATTGTTTAAATTCAGAGCCATTTAGTAAAATATGCAGTTGCTCATCCAGTGCATTTTTATTTCTTCCCTGCCACCAGTGCCACTTTATTGCTTGGGCCAGTTTCCTAGGTGGCTTTGTTTTGGTTTTGGGGGTTTTTTTTTGCCCAGGAATTGAACTCAGGACCTTGTGCTTGCCAGGCAGGCACTTGCACTGCTGAGCTATGTCCCTGGCTCCCAGGTGGCTTTTGACTTCAACAAGTCCTGTCTTAACCAATATGCAGACTGATTCCCCCAAGTTAATAAAAGGCTTTCTTCCAGGTGGATTACGTGTGTCTGGTTTTGCTAGCTCAGCTTCTAGATTTCAAAGAATGACCCATTTTGCTGATTCAAATCCTAAGATTGATTTCTGTTCTTCAGTTTCTCAAATTGAATCTCATTGAAAATAATGTACAATATGATTTGTCTCATAATAGCAGCTATTCCTAATTAAAGCAGTATTTAATGCAATTCCCAGTTAATTTCTTTGGTGATTTTTATATTATTGCATTACCTTGAATATCAAGAAGATACAATCTGTGTTGCCTGTTCATTACACAGATAAGCACAATAAAGTGGATGCTAAACTATCAACACATAAATGTCTTTGCTGTGTCCCTGAGTGTGTAACAAGCAAGTGTAATACATATTGTAACTAGTTTTGTTATAACTGTAACTTATGAGGGAAAAATTTGATAGGAATAATACTGTATATTGCTAATTTTTAACCCTACTGACAACATTATGATACATTGACTCATATACAGTATTCATTGCACACAGAAATCTTATGATTGGTTAAAGTTAAGTACTTACACGTTAAACCCTCTGCTGAGTCTATATTCCTAGCTCTTGTCTGTATGTTCTTAGTATTGGGTTTTGGATGCCCGTCGTTCTTTTGGGGGTTTGAGAGCACTGTACTTGAGAAAAAGCTAAGAGATATATTAGGAAAGAATGAAGTAGTTAAAAGTTTTATTTTCAGAGATACCGTAGGTGCTAATACTGGATTTAACCTTCAGATTTAATTTCTTTTCTGGATCTGGTAGTTATTCAGTAAATCCCATAGGTCTATGTAATATTTTAATTGTATAAAATTCCTTTATTACTTTGTAGCCTGTAACAGAGTGTCTGTCTGCCTTTTAAACCCGTTGCAATAACTTTGCTGAAATATTAACATATTAGTAAAACTTTTCTTAAACAAATTGACTCCGTGTCGTATTTGGTGTGTTTTAGTAAAATAATGAATGAGATGACATTAGATTGGCAGATAGTACTCTGCAGATAGTACTCTAGTCACTATACAGTATAGATTCATATTTTTAAACAAATCTTACATTTATATAGTAGCTCACAACTTTCAGTTGTTTACATAATTTAAGCAAATACGGTATTGTAATAAAAATCGAACAAGCTGGTTGTGGGGGCTTTGCCTGTACTCTGAGCACTTGGAAGGCTGAGAGAGGAGGATCACTGCAATTTTAGGCCAGCCTGGGCTACATAGTGACTTCAAGGCCACCCCAAAATGCATAGCAAAACCCTGTCTCAACAACAACAAAACCAAAAAATTGTGCCTGCTAATGAAAAAATTGCTTAACGCCAGTGTTAGCCAGGCATGGTGGCACACACCTGTAATCCTAGCACTTGGGAGGCTGAGGCAGGAAGATCACTGCAAGTTCAAGACCACGTGAGTTCAAGGCCAGCCTGAACTGCATTAGCAAGACCCTGTCTGAAAAATACAAAAAGAATGCCAGTGTTTCATTAGGGAAAACAGTTTTTATTACTATCTTGGTTCTTTTGATGACTTTTTTAAAATGAGGTAGATTTGGACAGTTTCTTTTGTGAGCTTCTTTCCCCTTATAAAGTCCTCAGCATACCTTTGCTAATGAATGAAGTGGATAGTGAGTAGCAAATGTAGCCACACTCTCTCCAGTGCTGGGAGCTGGGGAGTGTGTGAAGGGCAGCAAATAATTAACATTGCTCTGCAGTGGAACATGAGGACCACCCGACTTGTGCAGGGCAGGGCGGCAGCATGGTGAATTCTGTCCATGGTGCCTGTACACAGTGACCTGGGGCTGTGTCCTGAGGGCTTCCATGTACCTCAGCTGGGACGTGTGTGTCCAAAGACTGAGAAGCCGAGAGGGACTGAGTGCCAGCTTTCTAGATTGTTTTTTCCATTTTTTAAAAATTTTTATTGGGGCTGGGGATTTAGCTCAGCGGCATAAGCACCTGCCTTGCAAGCAGGCAGTCGTGAGTTCCATCCCTGGTACCGATAAAAAGGAAAAAGACAAAAAAAAGGAAAACGGTAGAAATGATACAGAATTTAAATAAAATAACAAATCACTAGTTAATATATTACCTTGTCTTAGAAGTAATTGTTCAGGTTACAAAATCAAAGCATAAAAAAATGAACAATGACAGCACAAACTATTCTTTTTGATGAGCTAAAAACTTAGTATGCGTATCTATCCTGCACACATACACACAGTTATACATGTATACCTACAAGTTGTTCTTTTGAGTGCTTTCCCTTTCATTACAATATCTATTACACATTTTGGCTCATTACTTTCAATTTTTATTTTTTTACACTAGAGAGACAATACAGTATTTACAAATGCGAGTCTGATTTGTTTCACTTGTAAGTACAGACTCAAGTTGCCTCCATTTACCTGTAAAGGCCTCAAGATCATCCTTTTTATAGCTGAATAATATTCCATTGTATTATAAAAATACATCTTTTTCATCCATTCTGTGGTTATTGGCATCTTGGTTGTTTCCGAGATTTAACTATTACAAGCTGCTGCTATAAACATGGATGAACATATATCACTGTGATGTGACCTTTTTCGTTTTTCTGGGAAAATAGAGGAATAGCTGGATTGAATGGGGCTTCCAAACCTAGTTTGTTGAGGAATCTCCATACTGATTACCACAGTGGCTGCACCAGTCTACACTCCCACCAACAATGGAGAAGTGTTCTTTTTTCCCATAGCTCTGCCAACATTTGTTATCGGTTGAAAGCCCAAGTATTGGCAAAAAGAAACAATTTTCTGGGGATTTAGCTCAGTGGTGTAAGTGCCTACTTGGCAAATGCAAGGTCTTGAGTTTGATCCCTGGTACCAAAAAATAATAATTTTATAAATAAGATGCTATCAGATTTTTAGTTAAACATCATTGTCAAGTTAGAACAAGTTTACATCAACAAAATTTTCTGGGGTTTTGATTTTTTCACTTAAAAGATGGGCCTCCCTCTTGTCCAGGCTGGTCCCAAACGCCTGCGCTCACGTACTCCTGGGCTTGGCCTCCTGAGTAGCTGGTACTACAGGGGCACCCGGCACTTGGCTGCTTTTTTTTTTAATGGTATTCAAGCAATTTAGCACTTAGGCTCCTCCTAACAATGTATTTAACTTCGTGCCATCACTTTTACCTTGGGAGTAGAATTTTAAATCTTCAGGTTCATAAATCACCTTGCCTTTGAAAACTTTTGTTTTACTTACAAAAGTTCTTTTAAAACTTGTGAGGCCACTGTGAGCTCTTTCATCCTGCGGAGCACACCTCCTACTTTAACTGGAGCAAACTTCTTTTCTTTCTTTTAAGAAATGTAAACCCTCCCTACCTTTCTGCTTGTCTTGTCCATTCATTTAGGACCAGAGCCTGGAACGAATCTGGACAAGAGCGAGCAGCGCCCCAGGTGCACACAATCCGAGAGCCCCGCCGAGTGGTTGCATCAGGGGGCTGTACCCTATGCCCCAGGGCAGGCACCTCTACACCGGGTGGGGCTGTGCCCGGTGGCAGCCTGGGGTGCCCTCTATGGTTGCACAGGTTGGACAGAGGCTGCCAGACGGTCAATCTAAGTGTGCAGCCTAGGGCTGCAGACACTCTGCCCGTGCTTTCCTCATTTCTGAAGAGCAGCAGGTGCTAACTTGTCTCCTGTTGGAGCTGCCACCCCAACCTGCCCCTTTCGTGCTCAGAATCTTATCCGCACCAGATCTCACCCTCACTGGTGAGCGCTAAGGTGGCCGCTTCCAGTGAGCATCTGTGCCTGGCTCCTCTCCTATTCTGGAAAGGGTTTGAAACCCTCGCTGATTCCCCTACCTGAAATTCAGGCATTTCAAAACGTGCCTGACGACCTGGAGCAGCCAGTGAAGGTCAGCTCTCCCTGATGTACCTGATGTGAACGTGTAGAGGTAGAGCTGGCCTCTGTCCATAGCAGACCTACCCTTGTGCTTAGAACTTGCTGAGAGTTCCCCCCTTATAAATGCTGCAGGGGACCTTTCTACCTCTACTGCATTAAAATAATTACCAGAGTTTTTATTGCCAGGATAAAAACTGTTTCTCAAATAGCTGGGTGGTGCCCTGGGGTTCTACCCTTGGCTTTAAGTAGACCTAGTGGGCCGGGTATGGACAGTGCCAAGGAAAAGACAGGAGGCAGTAGTGTTGCCCGCTTTGCCACAGCTACCTGGTGGTATAATTGAGTCACATGTAGGATGCTGCTGGGACTCAGAGGGCTGCACCCTTCTGCCCCTCTGAAGGACCTGAGAGCTGGTCTCTCACCATAGGCCCCATGCTGTGCCCTGGGGAGCTCCCTGCAGGCCCCAGAGCCTCACCATTAGGCTGTGTGGTTAAAAAAATGGGGACAGTCTCACCCTGATAGTCTGAAAAAAGAATGGCTTATCTTCTATTGCATTATTGTTTGGGTCTAGGAAATGGTAAGAGATGGGTACAGAATGGCAGTCTACATTAGAGTACTATTCGTAAATCAGATTTTCCCTACAAAAGGCAAGGAAAGTGATGTGAAATTCCTCATATTTTATGACTGTCGGGAAAGGTACAAGAACCAGAGTACCTGAAGAAGCTTCCACGGAAGAGGAGCTTCCACGGAAGAGGAAATTGGTGTCGCCGATGGCCTTTCCTTAGCTGCCTGTCTGTTTAATGAGAACAAGCACACTAGGTAATCTCCTCAACCTCCCCCTCCCACTTATAATTCTCGGCCACTTAAATCAGTCCCACTCTCTTCAAGTGACTCCAGCTCCCCAGAGAGCCCAGGGTTCCACAGCCCCTCCTCATGCTCCCCAGATAGCTGATTGGCCTGCAGGACCTACACAGACGGGAGCTTTTTAGCCTCCCCTCTTCCACAATGCTTCCTGCCCTCAAGCACGTTCCTAGAGGAGAAGGGATGGCTTGTCCACATTGCTTTTTCAGTGACCACACCCAGCAATGCAAAAAACTGGCATATCAAAGGACCCCACTGCTAAATACAGCCTTTTCTGTGTCCAACAGTCAGGACCTGGATGAGGGCGAAAGGCCAGTGGCTGTCACAATGGACAGTGCTTTAGGCACCTAAGGGGAAAATGCCAGCCACTAACCTCGTGGCCACCAAACACTATTTCCCAATCAGAGAGTTCCTGCTCCCAGCACCAGGTGGCCGATGCCTGAGGACTGACGCCTCACTCCCAGAAAGGAGCCAAGATCTTCATCTCCCACTCGAATGAAAAGGACTTCGCGAAGGGGCCCAGGGCAACCTGCAGTGCTTGTCCACATACACGTCCACCTCCTGTGAGGATCCCAGTGACCCTGGGTTTCCTGGGATTGTGACTACACCTCCTAAATTACCTAAGAAAAAGCACCTGAAAGAAGAAAGTTCCTGTGAACTTCCGGGAGACCTGAGCTCCTCTTCACAGAGCAAGGCTCCAATACTGCTCCACGTGCAGCTGGACAGTCACAAACACCTCCTCGCCTGGCACAGCACGGCACGGCACGTGTGGATGCTGCACCAGGAGTCCCACTCTCAGCTGGATCCCGATGTGGAAGCCTTCTGGGGCTCTCAGGCTTTGGCAGTCTCCTGTCCCTCTTTGTCATGCTTTCTCCTCCACGGGAAGCATGGCAATTCTAATTGCTATGTCTGCCATAGTCCACCTTTTAAGACAGACCGAAGAGCAGTCGGACCTACGCCTTCTCAAGTAACGTTTATCCACTCACAGCTTCAGATGGTGATCCAGACCACATTCCAGGACTTCTGAAGTCACTAAGCTTTCTCCCACTGAACAGCCAGCTTGGTGGTTCTTTGCAGATAGCCTCGAACTATTTTACTGCCTTCTGATGGGACAGTCAGGAGCCACAGCACCCCAAGGCAGTTGGAGGAGAGCTCATAATCCCCAGTATGAAGGGCCTGCGAGCCCTTCTGGCTTGAAGTAGCTTTATA